TGCAGCCAGGTCCCTCCTGACACAGCTGTCAAGCCCAAGGCATCCGACAAGTTCCAGAAGGCATGGTCGCCGATGTCTTGCAAAATGCAGCTTCCGGGTTATGGGGCTTCGAAAGATAGCTCCTTGGCTTTGATAAAGACTATGCTGAGAGGGGGAAAACAAAATTGACCTGTCCCACCCCCTGGCCGTGATGCTTCAGGCAAGTGTGGCAAGGTGCACTTGCCGCGCTCCTGGTCGTTTCGAACCGGAACCTTGCACAAGGCACGGACCGATATAAGCACGGATGCGTCGTCATTCTGCGTCCAGCTTTCTGGACAAGCACCTTTCGGCATTTCTGGCTCTACATCTGCACCACGCATCAAGGTAAGGGCCATGCAAGGCCGGTGCCGGCAGGAAGATTGTCAGGAGCGCGGCGTTCCCAAGGCAGAAGCCTGACGGACAGTACAAAAGCTGCACGAGACCTCGTACCGGCATTCCCTATAAACTAAGATCACGATTGAATGGCTGTATTTTCTGGACACGATTCATAGTTGCAAAACCTGGGATTCCTCCACTCTGCGAAGAGCTACAGGAGACTGGCCTACGGTGCGTCTCCATAAGCCGTCCGCTTGGCAGGCCGCGAGCTGAAACACGGCGCCAGCAAACAGACAATCCTGCGAGCGCTGATGGCCCGAGGCCCCAATGTAAAGACACCCTGCGAACCTTGGACCTTCCGAGAGAGCACACGCAACAGTGCCAAGCCGGGGTGGTCCGTCCTTGAGCAAGTCCACCCGTGGCCCCAGAACGGGGAAGACCTGAGTGCGGCGTTCAGGTCCCCGTAGGCTTCTCCAGCATCCGCCTATACCGCCACGGTCTGGGGCCGGAGCGCTCATGACTATGGAAATGAAAGGGTCTGCAAGGTCGATCTGGCGCTTCATCCACGCCGCCTGCAGCCGGGAAGACTCTCTGCGACGGCCGTCTGCGGCCGTGGTCCGGTCGCCTGCACCGCGCGGAAAAAGTAGCCCACCACGTCCGTAGCAAGGACAACCTGAAACTCCGAAAGGCTCGAAAAATCTCGCCGAGAGGTGGTCGGCACCGGGCCCCGGGCCACGAGCCAGAGCCAAATTATCTCCCACGCCAGCCCTGCCCCGCCCAGCATCAAATTCTCTGCTTTGGACCAGGAGGTCAAAGCCTTATAGGGCAGGGCCAACGCCAAGAAGGCACACGACGGGGTCGCACCGACGGGGCCAATCGAGCCCGGTGCCAGCAGGAAGATGATGTTGCAAGCGTAATAGACCTGAAAGGGAACGGCTTTTGATATGCTGCCATCCGGCACGTCCAGGACGAGGCCCGCACTGCAAAGACGGCGGTCTTAAGTGGGTGCAGGCGCATCTCAAACTCCTCCTCCTCCTTCTGCTCCTGGGCCACTTCGCCTGCCGGGAGCGGGAGCAATTGAAGAGGGCACCAAGCGACAGGCATCCCACGGTGCCCAGCTCTCCTGCGCGGATTAGGAGACGAGTGTCTTCTTCTTCGGGAGCTCGGCCCGATCGGCCCGAACGGTTGGGCCTAACAGCAGCCAGAACAAACAAAATTAACAGAACAATTCAGGCCCAAAAGCGTCTTGCATCGTGGACTTCCAATTTCTGCTACCTCCGGCCTGTGGCCACCTCTTGGTGCGTGGCCCTGTCGAAGCTCCCTGGCATCCCATGCATGCCAAGAAGGACACCATCGCGACTGGCACGGTTGCCGCAACGACGGCCAGACCTCAAGCAGGGCGCACCTCTACCACCCAAATTCTATCTAGCTCGGTGCCTGAACAGAAGCCGCTCACCTTTACAATCTGCGATAGCTCACTCCGCTTTCGCGCGCTGCGCTACCCGCCAGACCAGCCGACATGACCCTTCGA